GAGGGTCGATCGGCAAAACCTGAGGTAAAATTGCGATTTGACTTGCCCCGGAGCAACCCTTTCGCACGAAATGAGGGTCGATCGGCAAAAACTGAGGGAAAATTGCGATTTGACTTGTCCCGGAGCAACCCTTTCGCACGAAATGAGGGTCGATCGGCAAAAACTGAGGAAAATTTGCGATTTGACTTGTCCCGGAGCAACCCTTTCGCACGAAATGAGGGTCGATCGGCAAAAACTGAGGAAAAATTGCGATTTGACTTGTCCCGGAGCAACCCTTTCGCACGAAATGAGGGTCGATCGGCAAAAACTGAGGTAAAATTGCGATTTTACTTGTCCTGGAGCAACCCTTTCGCACGAAATGAGGGTCGATCTGCAAAAACTGAAGTAAAACTGCGATTGTACTTGTCCTGGAGCAACCCTTTCGCACGAAATGATAGTCGATCGGCAAAAACTGAGGTAAAATTGCGGTTTATCGTGTGCTGGAGTAATCCTTTCGCAGGAAAAGGGATTTGTGTGTACGAGCGTTTCTGTGTAAAGATGTTTGTGTGTAAAAGTGTTTGTGTGTACAAGCGCATCTGTGTAGAAGTCTTGTGTGTAAAACCTTCTGTGTGTAAAAGTCTTTGTGTGTAAACGGGTTTGTGTACGAGTGGTTCTGTGTAAAGATGTTTGTGTGTAAAAGTGATCGTATGTAAAATTGCATCTGTTTAAACGTGTTTGTGTGTAAAAGCTTCTGTGTGTAAAAGTGTTTGTGTGTAAACGTGTTTGTGTGTCGGAGTGTTTCGGTGTAAAGATGTTTGTGCGTAAAAGTGTTTCTGTGTACAAGCGCATCTGTGTAAAAGTGTTTGTGTGTAAAAGCTTCTGTGTGTAAAAGTGTTTGTGTGTAAACGTGTTTGTGTGTCGGAGTGTTTGTGTGTAAAAGCAGCTCCTGTGTCAAAAAGGGTCTGTGTGTAAAAGTGTCTGCGTGTAAACGTGTCTGTGTGTAAAAGTGTCTGTGTAAAAGCGTCTGTGTGTAAAAGCTTCCGTATGTAAAAGCTTCTGTATGTAAAAGCTTCTGTGGGTAAAAGCTTTGTGTGTAAAAGCCTCTGTGTCAAAGCTTCTGTGTGTAAAAGCTTCTGTGTGTAAAAGCTTTTGTGTGTAAAAGCGTCTGTGTGTAAAAGCTTCTGTGTGTAAAAGTGTTTGCGATGCAAACTATTGTCTTGCACTTCTCACTATTTTGTCTTGATACTCCTCTTCTCGACTGCCTATAACACATCTTTCATATATTGTTTGTAAAAATGTGTCTCCATACTAACAAGCGAAGACCCTGCTCCTCTACGCTCTCGGGCCATCCGTCGTCTAGTTGATACTTCACTTCCCATGATGCCGAAGTTTCATGAAGTTTCCACATGTTGATCAACAGTTTACAGTAGCTCCCGCAAAAATACAAAGTATTTGTGTTGACGGTGTGACAAAAGTGATGACTTCCGCACCGCATTTCCAGGTGTCCTTGACTTTTCTGATTTTTGGGATTCATGGTCTATATCCAATCGATATTCTCATCTACAGGGCGCTATGAGTTCTCACAATTAGCAGCAAAGATGCAAACAAAATGAAACTGCGGACCACATAAGGGACAAGGGAAGTAAGATAAACAAAAGTAAACCAGCAAAGCATCCGGGCAAATTAAGTACTATGATTCCCGAGAAAGAAAGAAAGAAAGAAAGAAAGAAAGAAAGAACGAACCCACTTTGGGATAGTCTATGATAGTCTCCCCCGCTAATCATTATGTATGATGACCTCATTGTGAGCTTGTTTTGAATTGCCTTGAAAATCATGAGGTTTTGGCTAACCAAATATCGTCCTAAACTTCATTCTACTTCACCCTAACCAGGGTTGCTCCCAATACCCAGGATATATTTCGGGGAAAACTTGGGACATATGCTTACATTATTCGTAAATATGATTGAATATTCCATAATATTCCCATCAAACTGGCAGCATATTGAATTGTGTAACTACCTGTCACCAGCCGGTCTACCCTTGTTCAACCCCAGCTCCTCTTGGTTTTCACCATCTGTGAAGGGTAGCCAAGACACCGAAGCAAAAATCACAGCCACAGCGGCAGAAGACGTGCAAACATCCCTCCTGGTGATTCCATCTAAAAAACTGGTGTTACCATCTGGTTATTTAACAGTTCGCCATGAAAAGATCCACCCATTTTTAAGTTCGGTAAACCATCTATTTCTATGGGCCATCTATACCATGGCGAACTGTGAATGTCATAACCAAATGCTATTCCAAGTCATCATCCAGGTCAAAAAGAGCTCCGATGGTTCTGGCTTGACCCCAACAGCAAACAAAGGTTGACAGTGGGACCTTTGAGGCTAACTGGCTTCCTCGATTTAGTAGGGACAAAATCCCCACAAATTGTGGCCTGGCCCATTTTTTGCTCGCCCAAGATCATGAAAGAGCTGGGATGGCAAGGAGTGTTGGTGGTATATAGTTCCTCAAATCTTGGTTTTGCAGATTTTGGGGGTGCCTGGGGTCCCAAAATAAGGTGAAACACATATATTTGTAGATTCACCATGCACCAAGTAGTGGGAAAAGATATCACCCAAATATCAAACATGTCATAAATCCATTTTGTTGATTTTTGCCTAAATGTATGATGGCAAATTCTCGACCCAACAACACCTAGATGTAAGAGATAAATCGAATATGTTCCAGTAAAATATGTAATAGGTACAAGGTGGTACCCCATAGTTAGCTAAGTTGGTTTATAACTCCAATAACTATGGCTTATGGTAGATATATCTATAGTTGATGGGGTTTATAAACCAACTTATAACTGGGGGGGCACCACCTTAGCCTCGTTGGATAGTTACCCTCTGCTAAACCAACCATAGATGTGGAAAACACACCATTTTTTTTGATCGTTTTCCTAGGGAAACGATCGCGAGGGTTTTTTAACACCGACTGAGAGATACCGTCTGGTAATTTCACATAGCTATTGAAAATGCTTCATTTATAGATTAGATTGCCAATCAGCCAGATACCCTGCAAAAAATGACAAATTCTTTGCTGCTGAACGTAGATATTCCATACCAAAAGACTATTCAGGATTAGTTTGTATCCATCTAAGATTGACCTAGTTATAGAGATGTATAGAGATGATTTACCATCTGGTTATTTAACATAGCCATGGAAAATCACCATTTTTAATAGGTAAACCGGTAAACCATCTATAAATGAGCCATTTTCCATGGCTATGCTAAATTACCAGAGGGTACTTATGCAAGATGGTGATTTTCCAGGCCGTAATCCCGGCCGTTCCAGCCCCTCGCCGTCCTCCCGCCGCACCAGCGTCAAGCAGCGTGGGCAAGGCTGACACTCTGACAGCAGCCAGGCTGTGGCGGGCGCCGGGCCTCCATGATACATGGGTGAAATAATGTCAACCCTGGAGTAGTAAACCCCTAGGTTCAATGGCCATTTCAGGATCAGTCATATCTACGTGTATCCCCAAGTATCCCCATATTGTATCATATTGTTTGGTTACTAAAACTCCCAGAAATCATTGTTTATAACCCAATGAAAATCACTACAAGGTGGTACCCCAGTTCGTTAGCTAAGTTGGTGAACATAACTCTAATAACTATGGTTTTTGGTAGATATATCGAACTAGTTAATGGGGTTTATAAACCAACTTATAACTGGGGGGGCACCACCTTGTAGGTTGTTTAATTGGAAGGGTACCATTTAAGTATTAGATGAAATGACTATTGGAGGTGTACCCCCCTAATTTTCATAAACCATGGTTTATTAATCCGGAGTTGACATTAACTCACTTCAATGGCGGGATAATGGTGTAATGATAATGGTGATAATGGTGATCAATGGTGATTAATGATGCTTTAATGATGGTGATACCCTCTGGTAAACTAACAGTTTGCGAACTGGACAATGGCCCAGTTAGTTCGTTGATTTACCGAACTTAAAAGTGATGATTTTCCAGTTCACTATGTTAGTTTACCAGAGGGTAATCCCAGTTTCAACAGGATCCTAAAATGGTACTGTACCATATAAGGCAATATTTTGTGGGGATATTCCCTTACATAGCCCTAAAAAATAGGCTTTATATATGGTAGGTAGCTCCACTTTAGGTTCCTGAAATGGCCATTGACCAGTTATATTTACATAATTTTACATATATGGAGTATCCATGCATATCCCCAACAATCCCCAGATATGGAATTGTAAGGAATATCCCCATTGATCTATGAAATGTTATACTGGTTGGTGGTTTCAACCCCTCTGAAAAATATTAGTCAGTTGGGGTTATTATTCCCAATATATGGAAAAATAAAACGTGTTCGAAACCACCAACCAGTATATGGATCATAAACCACGGATGCAATTCGTGGGATGCACATTCAAGTAGGGAATGGGGAATGGGATGATTGTTCATAGTCTGTCACCATTCCCGAATAAGCACAAGTAAGAAAAAAATGGGGAACATATTGGATCATGATTCCCTACGTATCCAACATATACAAGTTTAATTAGATTGGATTGCTTTATAGTAAGCCCTGAAGAGATAGAAAAGCTAGGTCCTACCAAAATAGTAATCAAATGAACCTGTTCTATCGTTTTTGGGCCATTGTTGATTCATTTTGTTGATTCAAGTACCACATTTTGGTGGAAGATTGATGAAGTTATAAATCACTGTTTGGTTCATGTGGATTTGTTCAGCTTTATTTCCTCCAGTAAATTCCTCCAGTTTCTCGGTAAATCATCGAGCTGAATGGACATGGCGCCGCCGTAGCTACGTGGACGTTGAGTTTACCTTAAGGGGTATAGGGACATGTTACTGTTACAAAAAACCCTGGTTTTGTCCATCAAATTGTTGGCTGGTTCCTGTAAATCTTCTATGAACCAATGCTGGTATTGGTGCAATCCAACTTTTAAAAATATGTTAAGAACAATTACGATAATCAGCCCAAATTGAGGTACGGTTGACCCCAGATGTTCTTGATTAGTACTAAATAATTACACATATTAATGTTTTGTCCTTAGCTACATTGGGCCACGGTCAATATTTATTATCTAGCTGAATGTCATCAATTTTTGAAGAGTGTATTATCGTTTTTCAGGTTTTGGGCCACCATGTTCGTATTCCTTGCATATTCCATGGTATTCTGATGGTGAAAAGCAACGAATCAAATACTTCCTCCCACTTTCACGTGGAGCGCAATCTTTTTTTCAGTCGCTGGAGTCCGAAGTGTCGCTGCTGCTGTCCGTGGTGCCGCTAGTGCTGCCACTTTCACTAGCATTTTGCAAAGTTCTCTTTCGATCTAGTCTTTGCTTTCTCTTCTCGATTGTTTTTTTTCTTGCGGTCGATCAGACTCTGTAGATCGATACTTCCAAAGCGTGCATCAGCACCTTCAGGCAATAGCGCTTCGTGCTTCTGCATTCGCTGTGGCACAGCAATCGCCTGCTGCGTCTGGTCATTCCATCTCTTCTTGCCGGGCCGTGCTTTCCCTGGTACAGCCTCTTGTGCCTCTGCAATCAATTGTCCCCCTTCTGTCTCATGTTGCAACAACTCATTGAGGAAACATCTGAGTCCTGCCATGTCTTGCGCTTGCTTGCTCATCTTTGATGAGCAACACGCGCCAAGAAAAACAGGCTTTCAGCGAGCAAATGGGCCAGTGTCTGGCCGATAGGGGTTTTGTGATTTTTTGGTTATCGTTTCGTTATCGTTTGGGTTATCGTTTGGAACACCTGGTTGGATCCAGAAAAAATACACAAATAAAGCAATGATTCTGGAGAAATCTATGGGAAACCCTTTTGTTTGGAAAGTCGTAGTGTTGTCTTGAGGAAAGCTTGATGCATTGCTACTGGATACATGGAAGATCAGCAGATGTCAGAACCAAAATGGCTGCCAAACGCAAACCATCACCACACATCTATTGATAAAAAAAGGTTTTGCCGTTTGCTTCTCTCATACGAAATACATTGAATAACTTGCGCCGTAAGACACAGGATGACTGATGACCAAGATCAACATAAGCACACGTTATCGTTTTTGAAGAGTGTATTATCGTTTTCCAAGCCTCAGCTCAGTTTCCAAAAAATAGAGACGCCTCGAATACTACTTTCCATTGCCGTAAATTTTGGCTGTAGCTCTGACATCCCCAATGTATCCCCATGAAATCCCGCCATGGTTCCTGGTTAAGGCACCTTTTCTTTTCAGGGTTCACCAGTTCACCATGAAAATATTCCATTCCCTTACCGGTTTTGGGGCAACATAAATGATATTCCCAAGAGATCCCCATAAAATATCCCGAGGAAAAATCACACAATTCTGAAACATCACCATATATTTTCATAGATTTTCCATAGATTTCCATAGATTTCCTCGGTTTTCCAGTTCCCCATAGATTTTCCATAGATTTCTCATATGTCCCCATAAATTTCCATAGATTTTCCTATAGCTTTCCACTTAAGATCCACCTAAAAACGTCACGTCACCTTGCTCCGACAGCAGCTCCTTCAAGCGCCCCGCATGGCCTAGGTAGACGGACGTTTTTGTCGACCGGAAAATGCGGCGGCGAAGACGTGGCCGAAAATGTGTGAACAACCACCAGTTATGTGTGGGTTATATGGGTTACATGGGTCATATGGGTTATGAATTATATGAACTATCCCCATATCCCGACTTATGGGGTTATGGTGTGGTTATACACTCAATATGGATGATATTTGCGACGGAGTCGTGTTTGGACCCCAGGACGGGGCCCCCGTTGGATAGCGTTCAGTTGCCGAAAAGTGGCTGCCTAGACTGGGTGTGGCTAAAAAATCTATGGCATCTATGGTAGATATAACAAACTAGTATTCATGGGGTTTAAAAAACCAGCAAACATAACTGGAGGGCACCATCCTGTTGGGTTGATTACACCTCACTCCTCCAACAAGTGATGTGGTTCATCAAAATTATACAAAACTCTGGATAAATTATAATAATTCACTAACCTGAAAGAAGGCCACCAATCTTCCCTTTGGCCGGCCCCCTCCCCGCAAGCAAGGCCATAAAAGGGAATGATTTCCCGAACATAAACCATGATTCCAGGGTTCGGGAGAACAGGCTTCGGTCGTGATGAAATTTACCTTGATAAATATATATATATATATATGTTTGTTTATCCCATTGATCAAGTGACTTATCCCATCTTTCAATGGATTCCATTAATTTACATAGAAAACTGGATTGAGACTTGAGACCTCCAACATCCTCCAATGAAGCTTAGCTACGCTGAAAAATTGTATTAGCGAGTCGAGATTCTGACCATTGTCGGAAAAAATGAATGTACTCCCAGGTATAATACTATTTGGTCCCAATCAATCATGATGAATGATACTTGATTCATTCTCCATTATCTATCACATATGTAAATAATTCTAAAAAAAAATATCCTTAGCAAACCGAAGGCTAATTAGGAAAACAAGGATAACAATTTGCATTCCGGAGAGCCTTTTGTTTGCTCATTGTCGCAATTAGTAGACATCCAAATATGTTTCATCGTTAAGTAATCCTAAATATGAGTAATCCCATTGTTGACTGATAATCCCATTATCTTAAATACAACTATTATATATATATATATACATGGAGGTGTCGTGACCCCCTAAATCATCCATTTTTGTTTGGGATTTTCCAGGAATGCCCCATTTATAGAAACCTCCAGGTACCTTCCCAATTAAACAGCCGTTTGGGGTTTATTATTCCAGGGTTGACCTTATACAAAATTGTCAATGCCGAACATGGGTTTCATAAAAATTATCCAAAATTATTCAAAATTATCCAAAATTATCCAAAATTAGGACACCCATTAAATTAGGAAACGCATTAGTATACTAATGATTTGGGCCCGTTGATATAGTTATATCTACCATATAATTTTTAGCCACCTATATCTCAACTGAATGCCATCTCGATGTCCCCATCCCTGTATGTTCACCACAACGAAACAGTGAGATTTTCCATGGTAAACAATACAATAGTTTGTATCCATCTAAGATTGACCTAGAATTGTATTCCAATATGGTTTATGGTACTTATAACTATAGTTGCTGGGGTTTACAAACCAACAAACATTGACCTAGTTGGGGTACCATTGTTTTAGGAAACCCCCTATAGATCCCACGGCCCCAACGGCCCCAGAACTCCGCAGTCCAGCGGCACTCGCTTCGCAGCTGCTCGAACTTCTGCCAGGTTTCTTCGCCGCGCGCCGAGCGTTCCAGGGCCCTGCGTTACCAGGGGAAAGCCGTGGAGATCGAAGAAGGAAAACGGGGGTGACATATGGATTCAGAAAGTCACTATAGATACCCTCTGGTAAACTAACATAGCTATTTCAAATGGCCATTTATAGTGGATTTACCAATTAAAAATTGTGATTTTCCATAGTTATGTTAAATTACCAGAGGGTATCCCATATAAATCCATGATGATAATGTGGTTGATAATGATTGTTAAGCATGGCTGATGATGGTTCATAATTGTTAATAATGAGTATTACCCTCTGGCAAAGTAACAGTTCGACCCTGAAAAGAACACAAAATAACAATTTTTAGTAGAAACTCATCTTCCAAATCGAAATGTTCATTTACCGGAGAGTAATTGAAATATAATAATATAGTGACATGTTAAAATATTTATCTGGTTGGTGGTTTCAACCCCTCTGAAAAATATTAGTCAGTTGGGATCATTATTCCCACTATGGAAAAATAAAAAATGTTCCAAACCACCAACCCGTTATTGAAAAGTGTTGAGGATATATAAGGTTTAGATTCATGTTGACGTTTGTATACATTTGTATGATTTGATTGTTCGTTCTCTAAAGCGATATCAGAAGTTGAATCGTAATTGTCCGCAAATTCTATCCAATATCTACCACGGATATTAAATAGATAAACACCTACTGCATGCAAATTTCAAAATGATACTTGACTCATAGCAAACTTAGGGCAACAGCGGACCCATCAATAGTTTTATCAATATTATCCAACAATTGATTTTCTGGAGTTTGAAAATTTGAACCCATGCACAGCTCTAGATGTTTCACTGTGCTCAGTTGTTTAGACAAGGCCAAGGCTTATGAATGGGTATAGCTATGGGGTTTTACCATGTTGTGCCCTCCATAAGCTGGGATAAAGCTGGGATATCGGGCCTCGGGCCATGATCCACTTGTTATGGTTTCATTGGTCACACCCAAATCCAGTGGATTCTCACAGGTTGACTCAAACTATAGAAAATCACAACTTTATAGCTGGGTAAATCAACTATAAATGGGTTATTTTCCATAGCTATGTTAGTTTACCAGAGGGTATATCGTTGGTTATTTTTTTCTTGAAAACCCTTTAATTCCAATAAATGTCCACGAATTTTCCGATGGTTGACGACCATTTTGCGATTGTTAAACGACCAATGTCCTGTGAGATACCATTTTCCATGACCCGAAACCAGGATGAAAGCCGTACAACGTCCAGTTGTGCTCCTCTGAACATCCAAGGGAACCAGGCGATAGCTGCAGCGCTCCCCGGGGCATCGGGGGTTAAAGTGACCTGCGGGATCAAACGCGAGGCGCGTTGAAGGTGTAGAGTGGCGCCCCCCGGACTAACACCATTTTTTCCCATGAAGTAGTTGGATATGGGGGTTTCCATAAATGGTGTACCCCAAAAACTGTATGGTTTATAATGGAAAATGATCTTGAAATTGATGATTTAGGGGTATCCCTATTTCAGGAAACCTCCATATTAGCTCAACTATCAACTAGTTAGTTGACATGTTGGCATTTCTATAAATGGAAGATCATATCATCGATATTTGACTCTGACATCTTAAGAAATAATGGGACAAGAGCAATGAATGGGATTGTGAAAGAGACAATGCTGGGGGAAATCAAAAATTTAGAAACACTATGACTATGAACTAATTACAGTAAACATTAGTTATGGGAATTGTAAATTTAGTTACTTGCGATTATATATGGGGCGCCACTTCGTAATAAGTGACTTCTTAACCGAACAAACACCAGAAGAAATGCATGAAACATCATGAGAGGTGCAAGGTTTTACCATCAAACATAGGAGGGATATTGTCAAAAATGTGATTTGTTCGATGTGGAAAAATTAACCAACATACTTGGCGGCTTCGGCATTGCGAGAATTAGCGGTTTGTGGATAGGAACACTGGTGTAGATCCCTCGGATGAACCGGTCGCCCAGTAACAAATACTTTAAAAGGTCCCGCAGGACATTGCCTAACCCTCTCATGAACCCACAACGTCACCTCCTAGCAATATGCCCTGCGGGGGAACCCCCGTATTCACGCATTTCGATATACCCTCGTACAATCGCAGGGTATTCTCGGTTGTCAACACAATGCCCGTTACACACTCGTTGTTGCACAGCACAAGAATAACAGCACATGACAATGTAATCACTTTTGAAAACGCACTACAGCACCACACGTTCACCACACAAGCGCACCAATCCGCCCCGTCGTCCCAGCGACCCTCTTCCAGGATCTGGATCTCGACCTTGCTGGCATGCCCGAGCCCAGGAAAAGTGATGGCTGCACCCCGGTGTACGCATCGCCCGAGCTAAGATAAAAAATAAGCCGCTTTATCCTGCTTTACATAGATTGTGGGAACACGCATAAGCCCAAGAAACTGGCTGGCTAAACCGCTGAAGTTTCACGCCAATTCATGCGAGCTCTTCGTCTCCTTACACTGCGCAGGATGTTGGCAATTTGTGCTGAAGCCATGGTGGTGATGCTGGTCAGGAGGCGTAGCAATTCTTCTCAGAATGAACTCGTTGTGTCTTCGGGTAAAGGAGACCCTAAAATCAGCTAGCCCAAATAAAAACCTTCAACGGACCGCATGTTTGGCCACATTGTCTTTCAGCTTTCCTAGCTATACCCTTACTATAGACCTTTCGTAAACAGACACTGTTCAGGTTCAGGTCACCGTGCAGGAAATCGTCTCAAGATGTCTCAAGTCTGTTGTGAGAATGAGAAGTCAAAACCCTGGTGCCCTGGTTTTCACAGAGTACTTGAATATGCATGTCAAATGGTAGGAGATTTATTCTCTGTATAACAAATGATCTTTGGAGTTACATACAGTAATATATATATATATATGTATGTAATATATATATATATACACATAGAACTGTGCAAAGTATGTATCTGCGAATTGGGGACATTCCATATATGACTTGGACAAATAATTATCCACTGGTCCACTGACTAACAGCGCCCCCCAGGATACTCCCAGTTCAGATATCAGATGCTATCGCAGCCAAGAACCACCCGATAGAAAATCGATTCGGCTTGTGTTTCGAACATGTTTTTTGACTGAAACTAGTCCAACTACTACTCACTTCAGCAGTGTTCTAAACCCTCTGTAGGTAGAGTATCTCAAGCAGTAGTGGCTGGTCAAGGGAAAAAATAGACCATCAATTTAGCCATAAACAATGTTGTGTAAGTACTCCAAATATGAGTAGAACACGCCAAATATATATAGGACTAGGGTCAACAATGGTGAAACCTCTCTTCCACCTAAAACTTACCACCCTGTAAAAAAGTAGTCTATTCTTGTTTCCCACCTTCCATTACTCCCCAGATGGTGGATAATAAATATCAACCTGCCTGCAAAGCAACAAGCAAGATTGCTAAAGATGCTAAAGTATGCCAAAAAATTGGGAGTAGGCTGATTTTTTCTTAATCTTCTTGTAAAGTCCCCAGGATGCATTTGTTGGATACACCAGCAGGACCCTATAAGATGGGCCATGCACATTCACTCCCATAGTAGGCTTATAAACCAACTTCGCTGTCGTAAACGGGTGCAAACACTAATCTGAACATATATATCTATCATTGTCTATCTATATTATAATTATATAAATATAATTCACTATGCATTCAGGTTCAAATTCAGGATTATAGCCAGAATGATCATAATCATTAACTATAAAATATATCATTCACTAAGCGAGTCACGCCTCCGCCAGGGGACTATCCCCCAATAACAAGCGCGACTGAACCGTCGCGACGTGATTTTTGTCGTGTAGCCGGATGAAAACAGGGTAGTGGAACCCACATCATTACCCTCTGGTAAACTGTTACATAACTATGGAAAATCACCATGCGTTTTTCATGGGAAAACTCACTATAAATGGCAATTTTCAATAGCTATGTTAGTCATTACCAGAGGGTAGCAGGGTTGCTCCAATGCAATTACAGACAAATGATAGCCACCAGGGGATCGTTTGTTGTCATGTTGCCTCTATATTTACCCAATTTAACCCCCAAACGTACCTGCGGTGTTTGGAGCAACCCTGATTATTGGGTAAAAGAAATTTGTACTTATGTAATTTACCCAGTAACTTACATATAAGATAATTACATAAGTTAAGTATCCCAATGCCATTATTATCAAGATAAATATATTATCTAAGATAAATTACCTAAGTATCCCAAACTTAATTATATACACCTACTGCCATTTTGGGATACTTAAATAAGTTACCCCTTACAACCTCCCATCAAACTCATGAGGTCGTCGCAAGATAATGACCCAGCATCATGAACCAAGTGGTTCTACAACCATAGCTGGGTTGTGGTTTTAAACATCTTGGAAAATATTAGTCAATGGGATATTGTGGAAAATAAAAAATGTTCCAAACCACCAACCAGCATAGTAATCTGATGGAATATCACAACTTATGGTCGGTTTTAGTACCATAGCTATAGCTTGTTATATGTTATAGCCCATATTTAGCCACTAAGAACCCCTGCCCTGCCCCAAGAAACCCCTTAACATCACCATGTCGACAAGCGTCGTAACGGCCCATGCAGCTGCGACAAATGCCATGGGCGTTGCAGCGGGTGCTGTTCCTCGTTTTGGGATCCAGGGTGGGGGTCGCTGCTTGCTAAGTTCTTCATGCTATCAGCAAACAAATTGTGATTTAATGGGAGTTAATTCTGATTTGATGGTGATTTCCATTGGATTTAATTGTATTTTAATGGGATCTTATGGGATTTACTGGGATTTAGACTTAGATAGCTACTTAGTAGGGCATAGGAAGAAAACGTGTAAGCCCCGGTAAAACCAGCGCTTAAACCATCAGTGCTTAAACCATCCAAGCCCAAAGAACAGGACACATCTAAATTGCTGGTGGTTTCAACCCATTGGAACCCTCAACAAGTCCTCGTCAGCAGGGATTCTTCTCGTGAAGCTCTATCGACGTAGTCTTGCATTTCAATATATTTCAATGACCCTGGCTACTAACACCATTGTAAGCTGTGAATATCCAATGAACATCAATGAACAATAAAATCCCTAGCCCTTTTTGGTCGTTTCCCGATTGGGAACCATCCCATCTTCCAAGCCATGGAAATTTTCATTTCTTTTCTTGGGTGAAAAATCCCCATGTTTGATACCTTGGTGGTTGAGCCCTACCCCCCTGAAAAATGATGGACAAATCGTCAGATTGGATCAAATCATCCCCAATCTGGTTGGGGAAAATAATCCATTCATGTTCCAGTCAGCACCAACCAGATTGACATGGTTCATGTTCTATCCATTGTTTTCTGTTGAGTTGATACAAACATCCGCATGTGAAAAAGCTGGAAACTTAAGTCCAGCTGTGTTGATTTCACACCATTTCCACGTGGCGAGGTCTCACGGTGAGGTTGTTATCATTTATCCAACTGTATCCGGATTGTATCAACAATAATGTCAACCCCGGATGAAAATAAACCATGGTTTATTAATTAGGAGGGTACTCCCCAAATAGTCATTTCATCTGATACTTAAATGGTATTTGCGCAATGAAACAACCTAGGAGTTTATTAATCCAGGGTTGACAATACTGTAATCCCCAGTAGTTGCTGATTGTATCTCATACGAGAATGTGGTTGGGAAACTATATAGCTGTGTAGCTTTGAAACGCCTTGAACGACATTGCATTCCTGAACGCCAACGGACTTCTTGTTGACATCGGGCCATGCCCTCTGTTTTGAGACGAAAACGAAGGGGAATTTTCCCATGCGACAGGAACTCAGAACCTATCAATCTCTACCCATAATTCCTTCAGCGTCCGAACCATTATATGGATTTAAAGTGGAGCAACTGCTAACGCGACCCAGCTCCCAATCATCTTGCCTTTGCTTTTAAGAGATCCAACAAAAAATTACTTTACTTCGTGTGATCCCCACCATGACATTTATACATGTTCTTACTGGCACATCTTCTGGCATTCTATCTGACATATCTTCTGGCATTCTATCTGGCATTCTATCTGGCATATCTTCTGGCATATATTCTGACACATCTTCTGGCATTCTATCTGGCATTCTATCTGGCATATCTTCTGGCATTCTATCTGACATATCTTCTGGCATTCTATCTGGCATTCTATCTGGCATATCTTCTGGCATATATTCTGACACATCTTCTGGCATTCTATCTGGCATTCTATCTGGCATATCTTCTGGAATATCTTCTGGCATATCTATCTGGCATATCTTCTGGCATATTTTCTGGCATTCTACCTGGCAAATCTTCTGGCACTCTATCTGACATTTTATCTTCCTACATGAGGTCCGGCAGGGAACACTTGGCGTGGATACTCGCGGTTGATGTCCGGCAGGGAACACTGGGCGTGGATGGTCGTGGTTGAGGTCCGGCAGGGAACACTGGGCGTGGATGGTCGTGGTTGAGGTCCGGCAGGGAACACTGGGCGTGGATTGTCGTGGTTGAGGTCCGGCAGGGAACACTGGGCGTGGATGGTCGTGGTTGAGGTCCGGCAGGGAACACTGGGCGTGGATGGTCGTGGATGAGGTCCGGGAACACTGGGCGTGGATGGTCGTGGTTGAGGTCCGACAGCGAACACTGTGGATCGCGAGTCGCAGTTGAGCAGGAGGACGAGGAGGACAACGAGAGGAGGAGGAGGAGGCGGCAGGAGGAGGAGGAGGAGGACCAGGCAACTTAGATAAAATCTAACAACCCTCACCTGGCAGGTGGGGAAAAATCAAACTACTCCCGATGTATAGATTCCCCAGTCGGCCGTGATTTTCCCGTAGTGGAACAACCAAAAAAACTAGTCACTAGTCTCAGCAAATCCAGGAATAGAAAGTCATAATTCCATTCATATTCTGCAATTCTTAGTGATCCAAAATATAGCAAAATATATGAGAATTCCCACAGTAATATTACATAAATCCAATTATATAGGCTTAGTCTTAGTAATAGTAATAAATTCATGAAATTGGGAAACTAATGTAAACGATAACAATTCACAAACCCAAAAAGTCCGGCCATTTGGGAATAATGCCCTTTACTCGCCATCCTTCCAGTGAGATCGCGGCGTTAGGTCAATTTACCCAGACCAAAGGGCGGTCTAACCCCTTACCCTCTGGTAATGACTAACGTAGCTATTGGAAATGGCCATTTATAGATGATTTACCTATTAAAAATGGTGATTTTCCATAGTTATGTAACAGTCTACCAGAGAGTAACATCATTACTGCGTTATTGAAAATAATAAAACTAAACCATACTTAAGGCCATTTTGGGATACTTACCCCTTCATGGTCAATCTTGATACAAAATAAATACCCTCTGGTAAACTGTTACATAACTATGGAAAATCACCATGCTACTATTAATGGGAAAACTCACTATTTCGACTGGGCCATGTTCAATAGCAAACTGTTAGTCATTACCAGAGGATAATTATGGATTAATCACCATGAAAAATCACCATGTTCCTATGGTTTTCCATTAGGTTTTTCCTATGGTTTTTCTATGTTTTGACATAACCAGGCCGGCTATGTATCTGTGGTGATTTTCCCTAGCCATCCAAGCTTGGGGATGCACACAATCACACTTGGACCACTTGGATGGGGACCCACATATGACCCATGTGGGGATGGGTCAAAACCCTGGTACCGTGCCGTGAACATCAAAATAGCTGGGATTTATGGATGTGAATAACCCACTAAAAATATGGTATCTATAGGTATTGACCCATCCCCATGTTTCATCCACATATGGCACATAATCTGCTGGGGATAGTCCATTCATCGAGATAATCTATAGATATTTCATCCCATATTTCATCCCGTATCATTGCCAATCTTAGATACCCTAGACAAAATGATCAGAATGACAAATTCTTACCTCGTAGATAATCCCATTGATACCAAAGACTAAAGGATTAGTTTGTACCCATCCTAGTTGGTCAACAATGGTTAATAATGTTGATTAATGGTAATTAATGTTGATTAATGGTGATTTTTATGTATCCATCCAGTTGGCCAACCTAGATATAGTGGCGATGTTCCTTACAATGTGGTGCCCCCAAGATAGCTAAGTTGGTTTATAACTCTAATAATTAACTAGGACTTATGGTAGATATATCTATAGTTAATGGGATTATAAACCAACTTATAACTGAGGGGCACCACCTTGTATACGGTTTTTTTCACCCACAATCCGTGGGTCCCACGCCAAGGATCTGCCAGCTGTGGTTGCTCATGGTGGCGTAGGACCTGAGCCCGAGAAAATGAGGAGAAAACATGGTGATTTCACGAGCGTTGAAGCTGTTTAATGGAATTTTATGGTTTAGCCAAACATATGTAAGTGTGTATAGACTATACATGAATATATATATATATGTATTTATCTATTTATACATATATATATATATGATTATAGATGTATAATTAGTTATGTCTATATATATATATGACCATGATGATATAATATCCCCCCCATATATGGCAAACAAAAGAAACTGCCGACAAACATTGCCAATCTTAGCTACCCTGCAAAAAAAAAAAAAAACTTAATTCTTGGCTGGTTAACGTAGATCTTCATAGATATTCCTATTTATGGCAGAAGATTAAAGGATTTTACTTCTTATTCAGTTGGTCAATGGATTGGTTTTCACGGGAACATTTACAGGAAAACCCCATATTTCAATATATGTCATCGGAAAATCGATGGTTTCCGGTTAAGATTTCCCCCAACAAACCAATCCATTCAGTTGGGTAACCGTAGGAAATTTCCCTATAAAAACCCCCATGAGAACCCAGCATCTTTGCTGAAGTCATCGGTGAAAGTTCGACCCAGTACCCTCTGGTAAACTGTCACATAAACTCTGGAAAATCACCATGCTATTAATGGGTAAATCCATTTGTAATAGGTAAATATAGGTAAATCAACTATTTCTATGGAAAATCACAATGCTATTAATGGGTAAATCCAAAATTTCGAATGCCATCTTCAATAGTTATGATAGTTTACCAGAGGGTAACAACCCACAGAAACCATATTTCCACCATTGTCAAAGGCCAGCAACATAATCTGGGACGCCTCGGGCACTTCGAAGCAGATGGGGCACTCCATGGCAGGGCGGAGCTTCGGTTTCGGTAGCGTGGGCAGAGCTTAAGATGCAGAGCTGAGATCGGCGGAAGGTAATGGTTCTTGGTTCAAGGATTGAATCAATCATGTAACTTTCATATGTTGAACAAATGTCATGTGTTTTTCTTGGTTAAATTGCAGTGAAACATTTTTTGCGATTGGAATGTGGAGTTCAAGAAAACTCTGAAACTTTGCCGCTCTAAAGGTAATGGAAGTTAAGCAGCAAGCAAATGGGTGAAGTATATTATCCACATGGTTGACAAACATGGTGACTTTCGCCAGATGCGAGTTGGTTCTGAGTCAAAAATGATCATTCTCATTCTCTGGTAATTCAACTTTTAGCTATGGAAAATCACCATAGCTAAAGCGCACAGTCAACTATTTCTATGGGCCATTTGCAAGTTCGCAAACTGTTAAATTAACATGGGGTAGAATAACAAGCAAAAGTATATGTATATATATATATATATTAACTGTATACCCTTGGATATTATGTATATATATGTACATATATTAATATTTATCTGGTTGTCTTGGCCAAACTCGAAAGTCGAAAGTCACCAGGGATTTGTCGAAAAAACTATTCGCAGTTGTCTTGTCCTATCCCAGGGTCATCATCTTTTCCACAAGAAGATGGCGACAACTTGAAGATAGCCGGCCTGGTAAACGTTTACACTTTGCGAACTTGAAGCCATGGCCCAGTCGAAATAGTGGATTTACCCATTTTCATCGCATGGTGATGTTCAGTAGTTACCCTCTGGTAATTTAACATAGCTATGGAAAATCACCATTTTTGATGGGAAAATCCACTATAGATGGCCATTTTCAATAGCTATGTTAGTTTACCAGAGGGTATGTTAAATGACCAGAGGGTATCTCCTTCAAAACAGACGACCAGAGGGTGACCCCAGACCTTTCTGTCCAACGATCTCCCCAGGTCCTAGTGATTCTCCGTTCAGCTCGAGGAAACGAGGGAAAGTTTGTCTGTTCAACTCACTGGTGTTTTTTACGTAGGGAATTTTCGGGAATGATCCACAATAACTATTATATGGAATAATGGCCATTATGATCATTATGGGATATTGTATGGAATATGAACTGAAATATTCATTGGAAAATTGATGAAAATAGTTTGTTATACTCAGTTACCCTCTGGTAGTTTAACATAGCTATTGAAAATGACCATAGAAATAGTGGATTTTCCCCTAAAAAATGGTGATTTTCCATAGCTATGTTAAATTACTAGAGGGTAATAGTAATAATCCCAGCAACCCCCAGCAACCCATCCAGCAACCCTACGTAAAACGCACCAGTAAGTCAATGTCCCCACTTTTCTGGTTCTTTTCGTTGCTCACCCCCAAGCGTTCTGTGTTTCACTTCATCTACCTCTGATTGCTGATTAGTTGTAAATGCCCTGGGAAAACCCAATTTCTTCTGGCCCAATAATAAACCCTCTATCTTTGGATGGAAACGCACATTCCAAACTCCAATGAATGAAGTATATAGTTGCTCTATGATCTCTATGTTCCTCTACATCAACCCATGGATTTGATGCCAATAAACATTTGAAACGGTAACTTTACCGCCCAAAATTGGTGACTCAAAAAATGAACTGCCACAATGTGATCATCGTGTCTGTGAACAGCCCTCAAAATATAGTCCCATGTCATATCCCCATAGACATGACTGATTGGTGGTTTCAAGCCATCCCATTCTCAACATCAGTCACGACGGACCATAATCCCATATCTGATAGGCTGATCCAAGCATATCCTAAGGACGCTATCTCAAGGCCAACATACTATTGCTGAGAGCCATCAGTTCTGAGTTGTAAGGTGGTCTACATAGTTTCTCCTCATTAACTATAATATCCCCCAAACACCGTGATTAAGCAAGTTATGTGCATCAACTTGCAGCATCTTGCAGCTATCGTAAACGTGGGCCTCACTCTGTATGATAGGGATGAGATTGAGAAATCCAATAATACTATCACAATGGGACTGGATCCTTACTGTCAGTTGTGCCCCAGTGATAGAATAGCGATATTCAGGGTATGTTGGTTTAGTTGTTTCAGTTTCATCAACAATTTCCCGATGTTTTCCCATGAATTTTCCCTATCTCTGTTCCCTAAAATCCACTGCCCAAAGACCCCTCCCGGCCTTCACAGACTTCGTGGAGGAGCTTCTTTTCAGCTCCTCAAGTGCCAGGCTTGATGCTAAGGTTATAAGTACTGTAGCTAAACAAATTGGTTTCTGGGGGTACTATAACATTGTAATGAGTTATAACATTTTTTTGTGGGTTATAATTATAACATGTTATAACATAGTATTGGTAATGGATTATATTATACTTTAATGTAGTATAAAGTTATAATATAGCTGACTGTAACTATGTTATACTCAGTATAACAAATAGTGAATAATATACTACTATATATCTTATAACATCTTATAACTCAGTTAACTATGTCGTACTATACTATATTCTAGTTAATGGGCTTTAGAAACTCCAAATGAACCAGTCTATCAGTGTGGGATGGTCTATGGCATTGGGTTTACCACAAGAATCAATGGCCATGAAACAGGAACATCTCATGGGAATATCCCCCACAAAATATAGATTAGGCCAATTAAATATGCTACGTTTAGGGAACCTCCATGTATTGGATCCTGAAATTTCGCAACTGGGATTACCCTCTGGTAAACGTTTACACTTTGCAAACTGGAAAACCATCATGTTCAATGGGTAAATCCACTATTCCGACTGGGCCATTTTCTATGGGAAAATCCCAATTTTGAATGGGTAAATCCACTATAAATTCACCATTTTCAATGGGAAATCCACTATAAATCACCATTTTCAATGGGTAAATCCACTATAAATCACCATTTTCAATGGGTAAATCCACTATAAATCACCATTTTCAATGGGTGAATCCACTATAAATCACCATTTTCAATGGGTAAATCCACTATAAATCACCATTTTCAATGGGTAAATCCACTATAAATCACCATTTTCAATGGGTAAATCCACTATAAATCACCATTTCAATGGGTAAATCCACTATAATCACCATTTTCAATGGGTAATCCACATAAATCACCATTTTCAATGGGTAAATCCACTATAAATAACCATTTTCAATGGGTAAATCAATTGTCATTAAATCACCATTTTCAATGGGTAAATCCAATACTTAAATCACCATTTTCAATGGGAAAATCCACTATAAATCACCATTTCAATGGGAAAATTATAAATCACCATTTTAAATGGGAAATCCACACCTCAATGGGTAAATCCATATAAATCACCATTTTCAATGGGTAAATCCACTATAAATCACCATTTTCAATGGGTAAATCCACTAAATCACCATTTTCAATGGGTAAATCCACTATAAATCACCATTTTCAATGGGTAAATCCACTATAAATCACCATTTTCAATGGGTAAATCCACTATAAATCACCATTTTCAATGGGTAAATCCACTATTTCTATGGCCATTTTCAATGGGAAAATTCACTATAAATCACCATTTTCAATGGGAAAATCCACTATTTCTATGGCCATTTTCAATGGGAAAATCCACTATAAATCACCATTTTCAATGGGTAAATCCACTATTTCTATGGCCATTTTCAATGGGAAAATCCACTATAAATCACCATTTTCAATGGGAAAATCCACTATAAATCACCATTTTCAATGGGTAAATCCACTATAAATCACCATTTTAAATGGGAAAATCCACATTTTCAATGGGAAAATCCACTATTTCTATGGCCATTTTCAATGGGAAAATCCACTATTTCTATGACCATTTTCAATGGGAAAATCCACTATTTCTATGGCCATTTTCAATGGGAAAATCCACTATAAATCACCATTTTCAATGGGTAAATCCACTATTTCTATGGCCATTTTCAATTGGAAAATCCACTATAAATCACCATTTTCAATGGGTAAATCCACTATTTCTATGGCCATTTTCAATGGGAAAATCCACTATAAATCACCATTTTCAATGGGTAAATCCAATATTCTATGGCCATTTTCAAGGGAAAATCCACTATAAATCCCCATTTCCCCCAATGGGAAAAAATCACTATAAATCACCATTTTCAATGGGTAAATCCACTATTTCTATGGCCATTTTCAATGGGAAAATCCACTATAAATCACCATTTTCAATGGGAAAATCCACTATAAATCACCATTTTCAATGGGTAAATCCACTATAAATCACCATTTTAAATGGGAAAATCCACATTTTCAATGGGAAAATCCACTATTTCTATGGCCATTTTCAATGGGAAAATCCACTATTTCTATGACCATTTTCAATGGGAAAATCCACTATTTCTATGGCCATTTTCAATGGGAAAATCCACTATTTCTATGGCCATTTTCAATGGGAAAATCCACTATTTCTATGGCCATTTTCAATTGGAAAATCCACTATAAATCACCATTTTCAATGGGAAAATCCACTATTTCTATGGCCATTTTCAATGGGAAAATCCACTATTTCTATGGCCATTTTCAATGGGTAAATCCACTATTTCTATGGCCATTTTCAATGGGAAAATCAACTATTTCTATGGCCATTTTCAATGGGAAAATCCACTATTTCTATGGCCATTTTCAATGGGAAAATCCACTATTTCTATGGCCATTTTCAATGGGAAAATCCACTATTTCTCATTTTCAATGGGTAAATCCACTATTTCTATGGCCATTTTCAATGGGTAAATCCACTATTTCTATGGCCATTTTCAATGGGAAAATCCACTATTTCTATGGCCATTTTCAATGGGAAAATCCACTATTTCTATGGCCATTTTCAATGGGAAAATCCACTATTTCTATGGCCATTTTCAATGGGCAAATCCACTATTTCTATGGCCATTTTCAATGGGCAAATCCACTATAAATCACCATTTTCAATGTGAAAATCCACTATTTCTATGGCCATTTTCAATGGGAAAATCCACTATTTCTATGGCCATTTTCAATGGGAAAATCCACTATTTCTATGGCCATTTTCAATGGGAAAATCCACTATTTCTATGGCCATTTTCAATGGGAAAATCCACTATTTCTATGGCCATTTTCAATGGGAAAATCCACTATTTCTATGGCCATTTTCAATGGGAAAATCCACTATTTCTATGGCCATTTTCAATGGGAAAATCCACTATTTCTATGGCCATTTTCAATGGGAAAATCCACTATTTCTCATTTTCAATGGGTAAATCCACTATTTCTATGGCCATTTTCAATGGGCCATTTTCAATGGGAAAATCCACTATTTCTATGGCCATTTTCAATGGGAAAATCCACTATTTCTATGGCCATTTTCAATGGGAAAATCCACTATTTCTATGGCCATTTTCAATGGGAAAATCCACTATTTCTATGGCCATTTTCAATGGGAAAATCCACTATTTCTATGGCCATTTTCAATGGGAAAATCCACTATTTCTATGGCCATTTTCAATGGGAAAATCCACTATTTCTATGGCCATTTTCAATGGGAAAATCCACTATTTCTATGGCCATTTTCAATGGGAAAATCCACTATTTCTATGGCCATTTTCAATGGGAAAATCCACTATTTCTATGGCCATTTTCAATGGGAAAATCCACTATTTCTATGGCCATTTTCAATGGGAAAATCCACTATTTCTATGGCCATTTTCAATGGGAAAATCCACTATTTCTATGGCCATTTTCAATGGGAAAATCCACTATTTCTATGGCCATTTTCAATGGGAAAATCCACTATTTCTATGGCCATTTTCTATGGAAAATCCCAATTTTGAATGGGTAAATCCACTATAAATTCACCATTTTCAATGGGAAATCCACTATAAATCACCATTTTCAATGGGCTTCGGCGAAACTCTCTGGTTGATATCATCCCGCGACATCCTCCGCTACATTCCGCGACGCTGATCAATTTATATAGGTACTTCTACGGTCGCAATCAATAAAAAATATAGCAATGGTGATTGAGGAACCACATCTCTTAACCGCGAAATCTTGTAGATTTCTCTGAAACTTAGGGTGTTTAACCAACAGTTAGAGTATAAGGAGGTATAAGGGATGGTTTAAAAGGGATGTAATGAGAATGATTACCCGAGATTTCTGTGGATATAATGAGGGATTACAAAAATCAACCAAATCTCATATCAACCATCATATTATATATGGATATTATTACCCCATCTCATGGATAAATCAACCAAAAGGCGACTTGTTGATGGAGACATAACTAGACAACACTCATATTGTGATGAAATGGTTGTCCAAAACTGGGGTATGCTACACTACGATGGTACACCCCCTTCTCCCCCCCCCAAAAAAAAATATTCTGTGTGGGGACAAACCCACATTAAGTCAGTCTTCACGTTTTATAGGTTATACGGAAGTTATACGTGGTTAAACTCATGTGCCCCGACTGGCAAAAAAACATAGTGAACCCAACTATGTGTAAGGACATGAAGTGAAATACTCGTGAACCCCATATGAACCCCAAAATACCCAACCAAGTTGGTCTCAAAGGAAACTTAAGGTACAATCGTTGTAGCGTCCAAATTAGGATGTTACAACATAACGCACCAAAATGGTGCATGTCTCTGAAGTTTTATAGATTGTGTGTCCAAATAATGTCCGCTTTAAGTCTTCTATCTACTTGCGGTTTGTTTAATATATTGGAAAGTACCAACCAAACGAAGAAGGTGAAATGTCCAACCCCCAATTGCGCGGCTGGGACTTCAGTCCTCCTGTTGTCTCTTCTCAGCTTGTTCCCTCCACTTCTCAAGGACTGCCTTTGCCAGAATTCCACGTGGCTTTTCAGCGAGCTGGGATATCCATACTTGGGACTTGGGTTCATCACGGGCACGTAAGTAGGCAATAACTATCCTACCCCACTTATGTACTATACATTATACGGTTATGTATACATATCATATAACCATATATATATAATATAATATAATTATATATATGGTATACATATATATATATTATGATATATATATATATTATGATATATGTATAATGTATATACAATTATAAATGTACATTAATATTATCTGTAAGGTCCTCAGTTATATAGCTTATATAGATGGCACCTTAACCTACCGTGAGACATTTCCCCCTTTTTAGCATCCGATTCCCAGAACTGGTTTACCACAAGGTAAATCCTCAATGGGAACACCCAATATATCTTCACATATCTTATCACCACAATCGCAACCACGAACACCCAATATGAAGATTCCATCCACTGAGTGGTAATAACATCATATATTGGTGGATACTATCAGTTATAGTGGAATATTGCTGGCAAATCACCATCCACTGAGTCATGTGCTACGCATCACTACGCCTTTCTCTAGATGCAGAAGCTCAGTGGGTTCCCCCCCTGACCGGTTGCCAAGGCCTTGGATGGGCGATAACTCGAGAGCTCGACTTCTAAAAAACCTCAAGACCTCACCAGGCATCACCAGGCTGCTTGAAATAGAGTTTCTGGGTGTCTTCCAATTTTGCCAATCGGCTTGCTCTTCTTTGCGCTTACGCAGCGTCTTCCAAGTGAAATTGCGACACCGTGTCCAAAAGCGGCGATTCCAACGACACCGGGCGGCTTCGCCCTGGCTGATCTTCGATGTGCCAAAAACTTGGCTCATGCAGCCGCATCATGCATGCAATGATGTTAGTGAAGTCATGCAATATACAGGAATTTGAAGTAAGGTAAGGTAAAGTAAGGTCAGGTAATGCAATGTAAAGTAAGGATAAGTAAGGGATATATAAAAGAATATAAAAGATATGAAAGCTAGGGTATGCTAAGGTAACGTAAAGTAAGGTAATGCAATGGTCGAAACATGGGGAATTCTTTGGTTGGGATCATCCAAGTCAGTTCGCGAACTGGAAGCCAGTTCGCCCATAGAACATTGCCAATCCCATTGATACCAAAAGACTAAAGGATTAGTTTGTACCTATCCAGTTGGTTAACCATGGTTAACCTAGAGAAATAGATGATTTATGATTTATGATGATTGACCTATTCAACATGGTGATTCTCCAGTTCGCTCTATAACCTGAGGGTATAGCTTAATGTAAATGAAACCACCGGTCACCACTCAGTTACAACACTCAAAATCAAACAGGGTTAGTTGCCCTGAATTGATTATCAACCAACATGGGGGTTAAACACTGCTCTATTCATCCGGCTTCGAGGATAACTAAGCCAATGAATCTTCTACCCGTCTCCCATCCCATGCTACAGGTTGGTAAATGGTCATCCCTATCGTCACTTCACAAAAACCCAAATAAACCGGTTTGTGTGTCTCATGGCCCTATGTATCATCTATCCCAGATGCTCCATGTATGGAATAGTTTCTGTACATGTCTGTACCATCATTTATCCCAACAGTCACCCAAATGTAGGTAAATACATACATGGAGCATATGGGTGTATGGGTATATTAACCATTATTAACCCATCAACAGGGAGTCAATGGTCGGTTTAACCAAGCTTTGCCCGGGAGTGGAGGAAGGCGGGCGCCTTGTGACCATGCTGACCCTTCTCCTCATCTCCTGGATGGTGGTTTGAGAAGCTTGCTCCCCTCCTAAGTTAGTTGACAACTTTGAAGACTTTGAGTGGAATATGTCTGGTTCTCCATCTGTCTCCCAACACACAGAGAAAATGGAAGTGTGCTGGATAATCCATCCACTTATGCTTCGATCCGAGGCATTGTGTATCAGAAAGGGTGTGATGTAGTCATGAGTAACGCAGGCGGTTCCGAACAGGTAGAAAAAATGCTGGTGATCTTGGTGTCGGATCACCAATACAGAGTGAAACTGATAAGTGCCCCATAGTTTGACATGTTTATAACTGATAAGAGTGTGGCCATAGTTGGCTGAGTTGGTTTGTACATGTTTTATAAGTGACAAAATCGTATGGAAAGTATGAAAACATAAATAAAATACTTCATCAACCGCAATCCCCGTATGTATGGTGGTGTCAGCCAGTCAGATTGTTGTATTTCATCTAAAGGATGCTAAAGGAATGAACTTGAGTACGCTTGCAGCCAATGATGCTTTTGACACTCCCCAAAGGCCCTAAAGTTGTATTACTATCAACAACTAGCACTATTTTTTTTGTGTTGCTCGCGCAAGTTTCCCTTCGCGCAGTCAACCTGGGTGGGGTTGACCCGCACGGTCGACGGACCGGACCTTGTCCGAGTTCTTCTTTGGAGAGTTGTTTCAAGAGTTTCTTCGTCTGAGGCGAGGGGAAATTCGGCAGCCGGGCAGCCCTGGGCCCTGGGACGGTGTTTGTTGGTTTGTTGGTTTTGTTTAGGTTAGCCATATAAAATTCAGAAACCCAAGCAAGTTTGGCTGATGCTAGTGAAAGAAACCAACTTACATATAATATCATCATGTCATACATTTGTTTGTTGGTTAAATCCTTTTTGTTCGTCGAATCCCCTTCCCACACCTCCAAGGTCTGAAAGTTTGAACGATGCCGAAGGATCTAAGATTGGAGGGATCGTTGCCTTTAAAGCGGTCATGATTCTCAAGAAAAGATTCAGATGGGCCTTACCTGTTTTCACCCAACATTCACCTTGTTGAAAGGCCAATCTTAGATACTGTTCTTCTCATTTTGGGCAGGATCAAATATGGGTTTCACGGTGAACCTATGAATGAAGCTCCCCAATCACTATTTCCCGCAATTGCTGGTAGCTTTGAGAAAATACAACGTACCCTCTGGTTAACTAACATAGTTATTTTTAATCACCATTTATTAGGTAAATCAATGTAAATCAACTATAAACAATCATATCAATAATTTTCAATAGCTACGTTAAATTACTAGAAGGTATCTTTTCTACAACAGCAAATGCATCATTGCAATCCCAGGTTTTTTGATGGTAGAACTTCGGTGGGCTCGCCGTCTCGCCTCGTCTTCATCGACCTTCGCCTTTTTGTCCTGTGGCAGAACATCGACCCCCCCTTTTTCGACAGCTTTTATAATGATCAAGGTCTATGGATAAGATAATGTATATATATATGGGTAGGAAATTGTTTGGGGGATTTTTTTTTTTTAGTTTGGGGATTTTTTTTTGGATTTCCGGTTCTCACCATTTTCCATGCTATTTGCAGCATTTTGGAGCTGGAAACTGCCATTTCCACGGTATGTGCAACGGTTTTGAGTTCGAACCTCTCATTTTCCATTGTATTTTCCACGGTATTTGCAACAGTTTGCAGCATGTTCTGTCCATTTTCCATGCTCTTTGCAGCATTTTTGAGCTGGAATCTGCATTTCCACCGTATGTGCAACATTTTACAGCTACATTCCTCACAGTACTTGCAGGATTTTGGAGCTGAAGGCTGACATTCCAACAGTTGTTTGTTGTTACTGTTACTGTTGTTGGTGTTGGTGTTGGTGTTGTTGTTGTTGGTGGTGTTGTTGTTGTTGGTGGTGGTGGTGGTGGTCGTGTTGTTGCTGTTGTTGTTGCTGTTGTTAGTGTTAGTGTTGTTAGTGTTGTTAGTGTTGTTAGTGTTGTGTTAGTGTTGTTAGTGTTGTGTTAGTGTTGTGTTAGTGTTGTGTTAGTGTTGTGTTAGTGTTGTTGTTGTTGGTGGTGGTGGTGTTGTGTTGTTGTTGTTGGTGGTGTTGGTGTTGTTGTTGTTGCTGTTGTTGTTGTTGGTGTTGTTGTTGTTGTTGTTGTTGTTGTTGTTGTTGTTGTTGTTGGTGTTGGTGTTGTTGTTGTTGTTGGTGTTGTTGCTGTTGTTGTTGTTGTTGTTTAGTGGTGTTGTTGTTGTTGCTGTTGTTAGTGTTGTTGTTGTTACCGTTAGTGTTGTTAGTGTTGCTAGTGTTAGTGTTGTTAGTGTTGTTAGTGTTGTTAGTGTTGTTAGTGTTGTTAGTGTTGTTAGTGTTGTTAGTGTTGTGTTAGTGTTGTTGTTGTTTCTGTTGTTGTTGTTGTTGGTGGTGTTGTTGTTGTTGTTGGTGGTGGTGGTGGTGTTGTTGCTGGCGGTTGTGTTTGTGTTGTTAGTGTTGTTATTGTGTGTTGTTGTTGTTGTTGCTGTTGTTGTTGTTGTTGTTGTTGTTGTTGTTGTTGTGGTGGTGTTGTTGTTGTGGTGTTGTTGGTGTTGGTGTTGGTGTTGTTGTTGGTGTTGGTGTTGGTGTTGGTGTTGGTGTTGGTGTTGTTGTTGTTGGTGGTGGTGGTGTTGTTGTTGTTGATGTTGCTCCACACCTCATGGAAAAGCAAAAAAGCAAAGAAAAGCAAAAAAGCAAAAAAGCAAAGAAAAGCAAGAAAAGCAAAAAAGCAAAGAAAAGCAGAAAAGCGAGAAAAGCAAAAAAGCAAAGAAAAGCAAGGAAAGCAAAAAAGCAAAAAAGCAAAGAAAAGCAAGAAAAGCAAAAAAGCAAAGAAAAGCAGAAAAGCGAGAAAAGCAAAAAAGCAAAAAAGCAAAGAAAAGCAAAGAAAAGCAAGGGAAGCAAAAAAGCAAAAAAGCAAAGAAAAGCAAGAAAAGCAAGAAAAGCAAAAAAAGGAATAGAAGCAAAGAAGCAGAGAAGCACTGCAGGAGGCAATAGAGTAAGCAGGAAGAAATCCAAAAAAAAATCCCTAAACTAAAAAAAAAAAATCCCTAAATAAATGGCCCTCCTATATATATAGTATTATAATATATATTACAATGTGTACTTATCATTGCTTATCCAGAAAAATCGTACGGGTAGCAAAGTAAGACACCGCAAAACTCCGTTGAAAACCATCGCCCTACAGATATTCCACGTGTACATCGACACCAAGTGAATGGGAGGTTGATCTGCTTGAGGGTTAAGCCATTCATCTGAAAATTCTTGAGGGTTAACCACAACTAAGGGTAACAGGAGGATTCAAAAAAGGGTAAAGACTGGACCATCATGTAACCTGAACCAAATATTAGTGTTTGCAGTGAGTATATATGGAGTACACAACACATGATTTGATTTTTTCTTGACAAAACAAACAAATGTTGATTTGACCCTAGGTGTTTTTCTAAGCAACAAGAAATCATGGTGAAACGGGATAGATTGTCAGACGAAACCAATCGAGATTCTGCACGGTTCGTACAGGACCCCCCGAAAAAATGCAAACAAATAACAAAATGCAATCCTAAAATGTTGAGAATTCTCCACTTGTCTGCATCTTTTTTTGGTGGCTTAACTGACTTAGTTTTCTACAATGCAAAATCGTTGACTCCCAAGCCATGCTTAGCTGCTTTGGCCACAAAATTGCTGAGCCGAATCTGGGGATTGAAAATCTCAAAATGATCATACAAACAATCACTGGTTGGTGGTTTTTCGCCTACCCCTAAAAAGTGGGTTGATATATGGTTAATATATGGTTATTATATGGTTAAGGATGGTTAATAACATACTCTGGTTGGTGGTTTTTAGCCTACCCCTCTGAAAAATATTTTTGTCAGTTGGGATGATGAAATTCCCAACTGAATGGAAAGTCATAAAATTCCATGGTTCCAAACCACCAACCAGTGATTAGCCAGTGGATTTAGGGGTAAAGCATTTTCTGACAAAGCCATCGATAGAGAAATTTGTGAATTGAGGAAACATAACAAGCGTTACAGTAACATCCCGGAAAAATTCAAGCAAGAACCTCCATCAAATCCTGTGTTCAACAACCCGACCAAAAGATATATAAAAACAGTGCACGCACAAAGTGCTCATGACTCTTACCCACCCATATGCTACATGTTTACCATTGTTTACCTGTACCTCTGGGTCATTGTGAAGGAAAAAAAAGTATGTATACATATACAGTAAATACACCGCATGATGGGCAATCTTCAATCATTTTCACAGCGTATCTCGAAATTATGCTTGTCAGTATTGTAACACGGATCCCAGACAGCAACCGAAATATGTGGTGGAATTTGACATGGACACTCCCAAAGAATTGCTTTGGAAGGCGATTTTCCACCGACCCTTTTTGGTTGGTTGGATGCTCCTGTTTTTGTGTTTCAAAATCAAAATGTTTGCCGATAATTGCTGACCCACACTACACTAATTTAAGTTCGAAAGCATATTGTTTTCGAGTTGTATGCCGAGAAGTCGCATAGTTGTTATATTAAATGGAGACTATGAACATAGTTTAACATAGTTATTATATTATGTAGATGTATGTTTAGTATATATATAATATATGTTAAGTTTATATCCAGTTCTTGAGAAGTGCCTAGTCTCCATATTGCGGGTGTGCTTCGGTCTGCGCGGTCTTCGGCGATGGAATTTTCTCTCGTGATATTGAAACAAAGTGGTTGTTCACCAGGATGTGGGTCAAAATGGAAGACCTAGGGAACCACAGATGTTAGTCTAGTTTAGTATTAACCATCCATAATTTTGGGGTATCTAATTTTGACCCTTAGCCACCAATCATCATTCATCAACATAAACAATGATACAACCCATAAAATTGGGAAGAAAAAATCCACACATTTAATGTAACCAGCGAAAGAACACACCCTGGTTGAATTACTGGGGGGGTGTTCCCCCAAATTCTGATAGGCTAATAAAATGCTACCCCTCCAACTAACCAGCCCACGGGTGTATTGATCCGGGGCATGAGTCTGCTCTTTATCATTTTAGAACATCTGATAAGATCTTGTATCCCCAATGTTTATGGATGATCGTTGTGTTCACCCATAATATACCAACCAATCCTTAACTACGGAGTTATTGTAAAACGAAAACAATTGATAAACCACTCTATCCTTAGCCCACGCTTATAAACCAGCTTAGCTGACGGGTCACCAGGTCGTAGCAACCAAGTGGATCATAAGCATAGATATATACCCTCTGGTAATTTGTTACATAGCTATTGAAAATTGCCATAGAAATAGTGGTAGTGACTAACATAGCTATTGAAAATTGCCATAGAAATCGTGGTAATGATAGCTATTGAAAATTGCCATAGAAATAGTGAATTTTCCCATGAAAATTGCATGGTGATTTTCCCATCCGTTTTTTGTAAACGTTTACCAGAGGCTACATCTGTCTGGATCAAACATCATGACCCCATAGGCCCATGTCGGATGTTATGTCGGGGGCCCATGGGCCCCAACTTCTGGGGGTATAAATCCCCAGTAACTTGGTGAACATAGCTCCAATGGCTTTACGCTAGGTATACCTAGGATTTATATGGATTTATGGCAGAGATTTCTACAATCCTATACCTAGTAGTAATTGAGATTATCAACCAACACAGCTGTGGACAAAACCACTCTGTATTGAGTACAACCATCTTTACAAATCAAAAAGATACCCTGCAAAACATGACTTAAATAGCTGGTGAACGTAGATAATCCCAACCAAAAGACGATTCAGGATTAGTTTCTACCCATCCAATATTGACCTAGAATTGTATTCCAATATGGCTTATGGTACTTATAACTATAGTTGCTGGGGTTTACAAACCAACAAACACAACTGGGGAGCCCCACATTCTAGGAGTGAGGCTAATTTTACTACAGCAATGTCATAAATAAACCAACGATATTGATATATAATTTATTATAATAAAAGGTACCCAACCACTTATATCAACCATTACTAGTTGGTGGTATACCTATCCCTCTGAAAAATATGAAAGTCTGGATCATCATCCCAGCTATTGGGGAAAATAAAAAATGTTCCAAACCACCAACCAGATTAGTCCAACACAATTAATTTTATAAACCAGGTACTCCCATCCAACTTGTATCACCATTAAACCAACCATTCAACCAACACAATTGCCATTCAACCATATCTGGTTGGTGGTCGAGCCTACCCCTCTGAAAAATATGACTTCGTCAGTTGGGATGATGACATTCCCAATATATTATGGAAACATAAAATTCCATGGTTCCAAACCACCAACCAGATAACTATTCCATTAAAACCTCCATTTACAAGGGATCTTCCCATGGATTGTCCCATCGGTTTTTCCTTGCTGAAGAGCTCTACCCCGTAGGTTCCACCAACTAGATCTTTATCTATCTATAAATATCTAGATATTTATATTCATTATGGATTTTCCCAGACAGAAACCTCCATCTAATGTCAACCCCGGATTAATAAACCCTGGTTTATTAATTAGGGGGGTACCCTTCCAATAGTCATAATATGATACTTAAATGGTACCCTCCCAATTAAACAATCTAGGGGTTTATTAATCCGGGGTTGACATTAGTTATATTATCTGGTTGATGGTGCTAAACGCAGGGAATTTTCGGGAATGATCCCAGTCATCACTAGTAATAAAACCATCTATCAATAAACCATATATCAACCATAGAAATCATAAACCATAGAAATTACCTAGTTATGTTCACCTTTTTATTCTCCTAACCACTGGATAGATAAACATCAATAAACCATATATCAACCAGGGCTACATCAACCATGAAGAAATTCCGCCCAGCGACTCCCCGTGGAATCTCCGCGGAGGCCAGGGCCCAATGCCAGGCGTGCCACTCGGGCACCGGCTTTTCCTCCGTTGAACCCGTTGAACCCGTTACGGCTTCAACGGAAACGCTGGATTTCACCCAGGAAACTGTGGATTTCTTCAAGGAAAATCTGGATTTCACCAGGGAAAATCTGGATTTCACCCAGGTTCAACCGGAAAAAAAAAACCGCCTGACATTCATGGGCTGCAGCAAAAACCACTAGGAGTTGCCCAGGAAACCCGAGCATCTGACCTTTATTCAGTAAAAAAACGACATGTTTCGACAACAAGTACCAACCAATTCCAACAAAGATATTGGTGCTAGAGTCAAAACATGGTGCCAAACAAAAAGGGGCAAATTCTGATTACTCCCAACTCAGTTTCCAATGTTAGCAGTCATGTTAAATCAACATCGCAAGTCGAAGAATGTGTTTTGCTTTTCCTGGGATAATTCCCCCTACTAAGCTACTAGCCAACCATCTTTGGTGAGTGAGATTGAGCCTCAGCAAAAATGGGCCATGTTCACATCCTGGATTGGGCCAGGCTCCGTACACACCACCACCTTTCACACAACATATGATGCATGATGTATGAAATACAAACAAATGGGAATGTCTCAAAATAGGGATGCTCGAAACTTCGTCTTTTGACTGATCATAAATTGAAAGTTTCGAGCATCCCTATTTTGAGACATTCCTAAATCCTGAAATAGCACAAAATCATACACAATCGCCAATGTCAATTGGTTCTATCCAGTCGAAATCATGATTTTCCTTGGCAAACCGTGTGTTTTTTTTGCCAAAAAAAGGGGTTTGCCTCAGAATCAGAGTGAACATCGCCCTGGCTGAGTCCATCCCCCGTTCTTCCAAGTTTCCTTGGTAAAGAAAGCATGCTGCAAGGCCTCAGCCTTAGTGAGACATCTGGAAATCCATGAGACTCTGGGGGAATCCAGAGGAAATTTCAAGCCTAAAATCTATGGAAATCCCATAGGAAATCTATGGAAAATTGGAGAGGAAGTAAGGAAAACCATGGAAAGTTGTCTAATCTGGGATTTTTGAAGAAATGGTTGAACCTGTGGTAACAGATAACCAGAAATCACATGGACTTGAAATCGATATAAATTGATCATTGTGAACATAGCAAATCTTTAACGGGTTCATACTGAGACCAAACAACATGTCACATTGAAAACACAAGAAATTGCAGCAGGTTCAATATGTTTGCTTGGCATGTTCACTTCTGAACAAACCACATTCAACTTTGGTCAACTGTCGTCAACTGTAGGTCTGTGGCCAAAGGGCATCACGGCCTCAACGAAACACTGAGCTGCCCTTACAATTCCCATCATTCCAGTGACGGAAAACGACGTGAGGTCATGATCAAATTCATCCAGATTAGATCCAAAAAAAACAAGAAAGGTCATAATCTTGTTCATCGTTCATATTCCATTATCCCATCTGCTTGGTTGTATACCTACCCCTCTAAAAAAATATGAAAGTCAGTTGGGATGATTATTCCCAACTGAATGGAAAGTCATAAAATTCCATGGTTCCAAACCACCAACCAGGTTCATAAAAACCATTATCCCATGAATATTCCATCAAAATAACTATGTCCATAAAAATCTCCATTTACTATGGGATTTTCCCATGGAAAAAATCCCTTGCCGAACGAAGCTGAGCTCCCCGGCGGCGGTCATGCGCTGATCCGGACACAACCTGTGATGGCTTGGTGATTTTTGTTCCAAGTTGAGTCAAGGTTGGCTATATATATATATACATATTGTAAGTTACCCAAAGATAGCCAAATACATAAGTTTGTTTTATAGTTATATTATATATATATATATATTATGAATATATATATATATATGGTTATCTTGGTAATATGCATATAATCTAACCAAATACTCATGTAGATCATCTTAGCTCTATCTTGATCTATCACCTGATAGGTTTGACTGATCTGGTTATCAGCTTAAATAATCTTAGATGCAGTGTATATGTCAAGATTGATCAAAGTTTCTACAGTAAGTATCTGATGATATGGTTATCTTGAGCTTCATAATCTTAATGGGCAAAAACAAAATTATTTCCTGTAGATTTTCCGTTCATCCATTGAACTTTCAATCAGAACACACCAATTTTCCCGGCGTCGCACCAAGGATTTTTCAGGAGAAGGCGCGCAGGTGGATGATAAGACTCAAAGGTTGATCACCCCAAAAAATGATCAGTTTCCCAATGAAAGCAACCAGTTGTGCCCGCGTTTTTAGTGGTGGATCAATTTGAAAGCCTATTGGGCCTATTGAATTGGGAATTGAACATCAAGGGGGATAGGATTATCCCAGACTTGATGGGAATTCAGGGCCACCAATGCACAGGGGCTAACCTGAAACTCAGGATATGGATGTTCAAAATGGATCTCATGTTCACCACATGGAATATGATGAATATGAACACCAGTCACATGTCATGAAGATCAATATGTTTCATGAACTAATGTTCACATTTATCATACATGGAATATTCATATCCAACTATATATTTATTTCGGGGGAACTCGGGAAGCGTGCCTGCCCACCAGTTATATTTGTTGGTTGATACTCCTCATTATCTATAGAATTCTATATCTAATTACCATAAACCCTCGGACCTAATATCACTTATAAACCAATTTCTCTAACACAGAATTCATCTCAAAAACCATTTAGTTATGATCTCGAGTACATTGCCAATCTTAGATACCCTGCAAAAAATACACCAAGTTAGCTGGTGAACGTAGATAATCCCATTGATGCCAAAAGACTATAGCGGATTAGTTTCTACCCATCCAGCCGATTGACCTAGTTACCATCTGGTTATTTAACATAGCCATGGAAAATCCCTTATAAATGGAGGTTTTAATGGGAAATTCATCTATAAATTTGGCCATTTTCTATGGCTATGTTAAATAACCAGAGGGTAAGTGCCCAAATATGGTTTCTGGGTAAAGACTTGTACCTTCGAAAGATGGAAGATATAGTCTAGGAAAATCCACATTACCCTCCGGTAAACTAACAGTTTGCTATTGAAAATTGCCCATAGAAATAGTGGATCTACCCATTTTCATCGCATGGTGATTTTCCCATCCGTTTTTTCTATGTTTACCAGGCCGGGTAAGTCATTCGGATTTTGGTCAACATCTAATGACCCTATCTGGGACATAAGCCCAATTTGACCTGCAGTTGGGTCAAATCAGCCCATGGCCCATCGGATACCTGTATACCTACCCTGGGAGATATCCCAATTCTACCGGCAATTCCTTCAGTCACCAACGATACGGCTTATATCCCTGGGCGCGGGCAACCGAGGCGCGTCAAGAGGCCAGCCAACAACTCGAAGAAGCTCTCGGTGAGGCAGTACCTATTGATTTTTGGCGATTTTTGAGGCACGTTTCATGGGCGGATTTATGGCACGTTTTATGGGATTTTTATGGGATTTTTATGGGATTGTTCATGGGACTTTTATATTTTTATGGTATCTGATACATGGGATTGTTCATGAGATTTTAGTGTGAATTTCATGGTGATTGAATGGGGATTGTTCATCGGATTTTTCATGGGATCTATTTCATGTGATCTTTCGGATTCTTGCGAAACAGATGGTGATTTGATACTGATTGATGTTGGATAAAAACCAACAAGTAGACATTTGAAAGCACACAAATGGTGGTATAATGGGGATATAATGGGACAATGATGGTATACCCTTTGGTAGTCAAACATGACTGGGAAGTGTCCGTTTAAAACGGAGGCTTTTCAAAGCTGGCACGCTGGCACCAATGAAGGGGATGAATTTCCAGCCATGTTTAATGACACCAGAGGGTATCCAAAGCCTCGTTGCTTACCTCAACTGGTTGGTGGTTGAGCCCTACCCCTCTAAAAAATATGAGTTCGTCAGTTGGGATTGTTCTTCCCAATATATGGAACAAATAAAATTCATGTTCCAAACCACCAAACAAAAGGTTCCCTCTTTTTGCCGGGATCATGAGCTTTGAATGGTTTTGTCTCCCAAAAAGTGTTGGATCAGCCAGAAATCAATTGCACATCGATACAGCTGCTGAAGTGGCTTGCAATTCACCACTGTTTGGCTCAACTTTTTACGGGAGAAATCACCATCTCATTGGATTGGATTTAAGGGAACATCTTAACCGGAAACCATGGTTTTTACCATCAAATATAGGGCTTTCCTGTAAATTTTCCCATAATCCAATTCTATGAATCTGAAATCATGTCTTCCATGTTGTTTTTTTCAGGACAATTCATATGCACGAAGGTCCCTTTGGTTATAATCGTTACATTGTTGGTTTCAAACCTCAGTCTAGATATAGTCGCCATAAATCCCACTTACACTAGCTTTTTGCAGCCACTTACCCTCTGGTTTCATCAAGAGTAGCTGGGAAATCTCTGAAGTAAATGGAGGACAATGGATGTATTTATTGGAAAATCATGTATAAATGGTGGATTCGACACGGAATTTCCTGGTCATTCACATGTCATGCTTGCCCAATCTGATTCCCACGATTTCCAGTGTTGAGACTTGTTGAGACTTGTTGAGGTCCAACGCCCATTCCATGACTGATTGCTTTCCCAGCCCTTCGTTGAAAATCCCCATCCCCGGTAAATAGCGAACACCATTGACTATGGTCCCAAATTAAGCCACAAAAACCCGGATCATCCACCCACCTTTTTCTAGGACATCCCCTCCAATTTTTAGGACACCCCCATTTTATGATCTTAAAAAATATGGCAAAAAATCATTAAACAAATCCATCTACATCCACCATGGTGGCCTTGCGGGGGTTGTTATTATTTTTTGGGCTGGGGGGGGGATGAGTTATGTTCACCTAACTTAGCGGCACCGGCGGAACCCTCAGATCACTTGGTATCTGCAGGCTTCCCCTCTTGTGATCGGAAGAAACGCCGCAAAAAGGCGCGCCTCAGAGCTGTGACGTAACAACAAAGCTATCTTTTTTATCTATCTATACTTGGTATTTATACTTGGTACATGTTGGTATTTATAGTTGGTATGTCTACTTGGTAATTATAGTATATATATATATATGTATATAATATATGTGTATAATATATGTATATAATTTTGTTTGGAGGTGGTTTCAGGTGATGAATGTTCATGACGGTTTTTTAACATTCTGAATAAACGACGGTGATTTTTCGCCAGTGTTCACCAGTTTTTTTGACCTGTTTGGGACGATGACGATGAAGAACTGGTCATCATGGTGAAAACATGAATCATTCAGTAAACCAAAAAATACATTTAAAAAAAAAAAAAAACATGTATTTTCAATTAAAACCATGATTTATTGAAAATTGATGATTAATCATTAATCATATTGAACATGTATGAATCATCAATTAAACAATATACAGTACATACGTATGTATGTGTATATATATATATATTAGGTATTCTCCATCAACACAGTGTGAAAACTGTGTAAACAAAACATCGAAGAATTTGTGCTGTTTTGTGAAATTGGAAAATCTGGACGATCCCGGTGAAATCGGGGCACAGAATCAAGTCCATGTTGATTTTGGTGTCCAATGACCATCTGGTTATGACTCACAGTTCGCCATGGAAAATCCCTGGCCCATAAATGGAGGTTTCGTTCGCTAAAATCATCTATTTCGATTGGGGCCATATGATTTTCCATGGCAAACTGTTATAGTCATAACCAGAGGGTATATATAATGATTTGGTGATTTTCCGATTTTCCATAATAATGGATGTTCATCTATAAACGGGAAAATCATCTATAAATGGGCCATTTTCCATGGCTATGTTAGTCATAACCAGAGGGTATATATAATGACTTGGTGATTTTCCGATTTTCCATAATAATGAATGTTCATGGGATATATTAAATGGTTGTTTTTTCCATAAAATAATCCTTTTCCAACGTTCTTTTTCCAATGTTTTAATGGACATCTACAGTGACACTGACGATGGGATGGACATATTTTCAGACAGAGGACTGCGAAGGCGTTTTGAACTTGCGATCCCAGTAGAAGGCTTTTCTTAATGCGTTTTAACATCACAAAATCCCGGGCTTTTAACAGGAAAAAACATCTTAGGAAAAAAGAAACTCCCGGATTTTGTGATGGATTAAAATATATTAAAATCCTGATCCTGATCGAAGGCTTTTGAACATCACAAAATCACGGAAAACAAGACTATCAGCTTGGGAAAGTTTCCCCAAGCTGCGCCCAAAAAATGGAATGGATCAGTTTCTCATGGTTTTTCAGCCTGGTGAACCCCTGGAGCCAAGTCCTGTCTCGGGTAACCCGAGCTTCAGATTTCCAGGGAAGCTTTAACAGGAAACCTTTAACAACCTTAGAATTGCAGGTGTTTTTTTGCTGAAATAGATTGAAATGGCAGTGTGTCAAAACCTTGTACCCCTTTTTTGTTCACATCAAAATAGCTGGGATTTACGGATGTTCATCCCCCTAAAAATGGTATTTTCATAGGTAATGATCCATAGCCAAATAGTTGGTTAGTGATTGATCAGATCCCATTATATCCTCACTATTCCTCACTAATATCCTCACGACCGTCTCAGCATCTTGGATTTGCTGAACAAAAAAAAAAAACGTGGATGGTCCGCTCGGAGCCAACCATAAATGGAGGTTTCCTTCGCTGGGAAAATCATCTATTTCGATTAGGGCCATATGATTTTCCCATGGCGAACTGTTAGACACAACCAGAGGGTATATATAATGATTTGGTGATTTTCCGATTTTCCATTATAATGGATGTTCATGGGATATATACTGTAATGTTTTTTCCATAAAATAATCCTTTTCCAACATTCTTTTTCCATCGTTTTAATGGACATCTACAGTGGCACTGATCATGGGATGGACTTCCATGGCTATGTTAGTCATAACCAGAGGGTAAACATGATTTTCCAAGCTAGAAATCTCCATTTACTTCGTGGATGTTCCTTCAGTTCCCATGATGTTCCCATGTGGCATTTTCCGTGCAAACCCATGAGATTCTCCGCAGCCGCTGCTGAGATAGCTGACAAAAAAACGATTTTTTTTAGCTGGTTAGTACACGTTACACCGTTACACCGTTACCATTGATAGCAAAAAAATATATAGTACTAATTACGAGATGTTACTAGATGTTGCTAGATGTTGCTAGTTCATATCTAACCAGCCCCTTGACCCAAAAGAATTGGAATATCACACAGCAGCTTTTCCACCCATTCCTGTGACAAAAACTCACCTCACAAACCCATACATATCAAACAATTCAAAGAACAAACTTTCCGATCAGCACAGATTTTGCATATTTTTGCACCAATAGTTTTTGTCCAACATCAATTATTCAAAATCCCGCAAAAAAAAGGACTTCCTGGAGGACCCCTCAGCACTTCGCTTCGGGCCCCCGACTCATCGCCCTGCTCTTTGTGCGCTTTGGCGCTGGAGATCTAAGGCTGTTGGCTGGCAAAGGGCTGGGGGTTGTAAACATGGAAGCTGTACATATATCTTTAATGTTTTGATACGTATAGTATTATGTAAATGCATTTCCATCAGTTCAATCATATATCTTTAAAGATCCTATCTTTTCTATCTATGAAAGGGTTTAATGGGATTATCATACAAAATTCTGGGATAGATAGAATAATTGGATTATAATCTCTCATATGAAGGGATTTTTTCTGGGACATCTTCACCATGAAATTTCTATCATGTGCTTGGGAAACGAAAAAATGTAGCTCCACCCCACTTCCCATTGATTCTTGGGAATAAATTCCATAGTCCCTTCACCGCTCCCTTCACCGCTCCCTTCACCGCTCCCTCCGAAACGCACAAAGGACGGGTCCCCGATGTTTTGGGAGCTTTCTCTGGGTGGAATCCCGTGAGAAAACTCAGCACCAATTGATAGTTGGTACTATCAATGGATTGGTTTACGGGAAAAATTTTAACCGGAAAAAAACCCATATATTTAATGGTAAAAAACAAAAAGTTTCCTGTAAAATGTCCCTTAAAATCCATTGATACTATTGGATGTGAATAACCACCCTAAATACCCTCTGGTTATGACTATATAACAGTTCGCCATGGAAAGATCCACCCATTTTTAATAGGTAAACCATGGTAAACCATCTACTTTTATGGGCCATGTTCCATGGCTATGTTAAATAACCAGAGGGTATGATTTTATTCATAGGTCAAGTCATGGATATCCCAATTTGTGTGAAGTCTCTCATGTTTTTGAGGGATGATTTAGCTGCGATGTCCCCATTGTGCTGTAGGACCATGAAACGTCAGGAGTATTTACTGTCTACACTCCAGAAAACTATGATATAGATATAGAACATCCATGAACATCCATAGTTTTCTTTCGATGATCATGGATGTTCCATATCTGGATAATTATGGACCATATCATAATTATATATATACGTATATATATATTATCAACAACTTCATGGTGCATGTTCCATCCTCATACTATAAATAACAAACCATGAAGTGTGATAAACAAAAAAAACAATGATTCACTAGTGGAACACTGGAAGTGTTATATTCTATCTATAAATAACACTGATATACCCTCTGGTAATTTAACATAGCTATGGAAAATCACAATTTTTAATGGGTAAATCAACTATTTCTATGGCCATTTCCAATAGCAAACTGTTGACATCACCAGAGGGTAAAAACCCTGGTGTTTTTCACTCCAACGCAAGGCCGCGCAAGGCCGCTAGCCTTCCCGGTGTTGTAGGTCTTCAACAAGGGCAATTTGTGGAGGTTGGGCCAGGTCCTGAGTCCCGCAATGGCCATGCAACCAGGATCCTAACGGTGCTGCTATATTAATGCGTTTACATGACTGAGGTATATTGATGGGATCCATGTTAGCATATACAACAGCACCGTTAGGATCCGTGTTGGAATATATGTTTTTGGCCTATTTTTGAAGCCTATTTTAATAGGGAATATGACCAGAAAACATGGTAATGGCTACGAATTCTTGAAGT